CCCCCCCCAAAGACACACACAACCTCGCCATATCTGCCCCCTGACACACACACACACACACACACATACACACACACACACACCAATCCCATGGCAGCTCTGGAACACACATTCGGCTGCCCCTACCAACAAACCTACAGCACAACACCGCAGCCATATTGTACGAGCTGACTCCACCAACAACCCAACCTCAACCACAACACCCACGACCCGTGACCAAAAGCAGGATGGGACAATGGGACGGCAATGACAAGCTGACGCGCTGCGACGACAGTCAACAAACGCGCACCCTCTCCACCACTCGGTCAACGTCCAGCGCCAGCAGCGCCTCAAACACGCGGGGGTTGCCGTTCACGTCGTACTCCAGGCCCTCCGCAGACAGCCCCGCGTGGAACTCGCGGCTGCCCGGCAGCTGCCACGCCCACAGGTCCGCGTCCTGCACGTACCTGGGGCCGGGGGGGTGGGTTGGGCGAGGGTGCGACCATACGGGGGCGGATCGGCTTAGGGGCCGAGGGGTGTTGTGCACATTGCTTGGCGGCAAGGTGAGCAGAGGGCAGCCGCGGAGGAGAGCGCGGCTGCCCCAGGGCCGGCTTTCAATGCCTCGGCTTGCGGCACGCTCCCTGCGCATGCCATGGACGCGCTTAGCGGATGGCAGCGCTGCTGCAGCCAGCCCTGCCTCCAGCGCAGAGTGTCAGGCCCCAGCCCCTCCCTGCGACGTCGGCGCACCCAAAGGCGCGCCCCTTCAACCACGCACCCAAAGGCGCGCAGGGTGGCCTGTGGCACGCCCTCCCGGCCAAAGTAGTCCAGCGCCAGCTCGGCGCCACTGCGGCCTATGTCCAGGAGTACGTGCAGGTTGGGCGGCAGGGGGTCCGCAACAGGCCCCGCGCTGACTCCTTGCAACTGCTGCTGCTGCACCTCCTCCCCCTCCTGTTGCTCCGACAGCTGCTGCTGCTGCTGAGGCGCCTGCTGCTGCTTCTGCTCCTCTTCCTGCTGCTGCTTCCCCTGCTGTTGCTGCTGCTGCTCCAGCCGCTCCTGCTGTTGCAACTGCTGCGGCGCTTTTTGCTGCTGCTGTTGCTGCTGCTGCTGCTGTTGTTGTTGCTGCTGGTGACGGTGATCTGACTGGCCCACGTCGACCCCCAGCTGGTCCGCCGCTGTTTTGTGGTGGTCCAGCACCACAACCCTGGGGGAGGCAGGGGTGCGGGCGGACGATCGCCAGAGCAGGAGAGGGGGCGGCGCAGTCAGACTGCGGCGCGCTTGGCAGGCGGACCCCTCCCCTGAGCGGCGTGCGCGCGCTCTCCCCATGCAAGCGGGCGCGGCAGGGTGTGGGTGGGCGCGCGGCGCACCTGGCGCAGTGTCCGGCCAGCTCGCGGGCAAAGCCCTTGGGGCCGGTGTAATCGAGAAGATAGACTGCCTCGTCGCCGCGCAGGCCCATGGCCGCGATGGAGGGCTCCCTGAAGACGGCCAGCGGCCAGAAGCGCGCCGCCACGCCGCGGCGGGAGAAGTGCACGTGCGCCGCGAGGGCGGCAAACACGCCATCATGGCAGGGGTGGTGGTAGCAGACGACGGGCGGCAGGCCGGCGACCGCCTCGCGCACGGCGCGCATGGCGTCCGGGGTCGCGGACATGGCGACCAAGGGCGTCGCGGCGCGAGAATGGAGGGGAGCACGGGGCCAGAGGCGCTGCGCGCCACAGGCGGCTGCAAGCCGCTGCAGTGCTGCGCCACTTGCGGACCCCCACATGCACGACCGCAAAGGCTGCCGCGGGCGCTGCGGCGGGCCTGATTTACTTGCACGATTTTTTCAGAGATTTTATTTTCTAATGAATTGGACCGTTATGCAAACCAAGTCCGAGCAATAAAGATCAGATCTAAGGAGCCAGTTCTACATCAGGCTGCTTCAAGTCGGGTTGGCTGCGTCCAGAGTACAATGTTGAAATATATGACTCGGTGCAAGTGGCATACACTGTGTACATCGCACACAGCCTCCCGTGGCCCGTACCATACAGGTGGCGTAGGGACATGCCGGTCGTCGATCATAGACAGAGCTGCCGCTGGTGGCTGCAATGCACTGCAAGCTGCAGGTGCAGTGGCCGGCTAACCAAGACGATTGATTCACCTGGTTTGTTTGCCTGGTTTTGGGCGACAATTGCAGCAAAGTGCTGTGTTCACTCGGGCCCTTGACGCTGCCCCCCAAATCTGGTCACGCAATGACAACAATGGGGTGCTTTGACAAAACCTGCCCGCCGTCGCCGAGACAGCGATCAGCTGTGCTGCAGTGAAAGTCGCGTTCGATTGCAATGGGGCCGCTGGGCGGCCGTCGTGCGGCCAGCAACTAATAGCAGGGCAGGAGGCATGGGCCCCGGCATTTCCCATCTACCCCTGCCCGGGCCCGACACGCAGGTGCATGCGTGCGCTCCTCAAGCGAGTGCCGTCAAGACATGCAATCGGCCCGTCGATGCACGCAGAGCACCAGAGCGCAGCCCCTTTCGCGAGTCAATCCTTCAATTTTTGCTGCCCCGTAGGCCTGCAAGCCCACTCACACATGCAATGTCGGTCCACACACGCAGCTGCTGACTCAGCGAGTGTGTGACCGCGGGGCCCTCTGAGGGCGCGGCAGTCATCTGCAGATCCACAAACCTCAGAACCCAAGCGGCCCCGACAGGGCCGGCGCTAATCAAGACAGTGCATATACACAGCACACGCGCGTGAGCCAACAAAGAGCTTAGCCCGCGTCACGAGCCGGGGGCGTACGGTCATTGGGGCTTAGGGGTGAAACCCAGCTCGTCTTTGTACTAGGGGCGGGCGTGGCACGAGCTGCCCCGCACGCCATCGCGCCGCGGTTCGCGCAAAGGAGCGCCACCAGCAAAGGCACCAGCGCTGTGCCGTAACTCGCCGGCGAGCGCGGGAGCATGCAAGGGACGAGCTTTGCAAAGTCGACGTGCCTGCCAGGCGCCGCCAGGCAGGCGGCGGCTCCTACGTAGGGGGCCCAGTGGGCCTGATCCCCCCCATCCGTCGATGCTGCGGGGCTTCAGACGCTGCCGACAAGCGCGTAGCCTGCTGTGCCGCCAGCGCAGGCGCGGCCACGTTATGCGCACATGCACGATTTGGATGCACACACTGTGCTTGTGTGTGCGGCAGGCCTGGTGTCACGCCAGTGCTGCTGCACACGAGGGGACATGAGTGAAGGCGATCAAGGCGCCACTGCACAGGCTCATGGCAGCAAAGCCGGCAAACGAAGCCGGCGACCTGTCAGCAGTGGTCCTCATTCGGCAGCCCGCATGCGAACGGGATCGCGGCGTGTTTTGAGTGTGTTCCTGTGATGGTGGCACAGCTGAAACGAGGACGCCCTCCCCCTCATTGGCGGCGAGCGTGCCGTGGCAGGCAACGAAGAGGGAAACCCTGAACCCTGCAATCTGCAAGCGTCGACAAGCCCCACTGAGACCCTTCCGGTGGACGCGGCTGCGGCAGGTTTCAACTGCCGCAGGCGGCCAGCAGGTAGGGTCCCTCGCACTGCGCCGCCGCCGCCGTCACTCGCAGGCGCCGCAGCAGCGGCCGTCCTCATCCATCGCGCTCGGCATCGCGCCTGCGGCCGCACAGCAGCCGTACTGCCCCGCTGCGAGCGCGGCGCCCCCCTCGATCATCTCCACCGCATCCTCGCCCTCCCCCTCCCCGCCCCAGCAGCAACCTCCGGCCCCACACCCACCCACGCCGCCGCCACAGCCGCCGCCGTCCGCGCGGCCGCACGCCGCATGCCCCGCGGGTGGCCTGCCTACGGAGGAGGGCGCGCATGGGCGGCGCACCGCCGCCGCGGCAGCGGCGGAGCGCGCAAACACAGCGACCGCCTCTGCGCTGGGCGCCTGGTGGCCCCGGGAGGACGGCCCCGCGGACACGCGCCGCCGCAGCAGCACAACGGCGCCGGGCGCCGGCTGCTGCTGGCGCCGGCCCGCGTCCAGCGGCGCCGCGCCGCGGCCGGCATGCTGGCCGTCGCCGCCGCCGCTGGCGGCCGCGCTGCCGCCGCCGCGGTTGCTGCCGCCCGGGTCGTCTTCGAGCTTCACATAGGGCGCCTGCTGCTCGGCCGCCTGGACGTGCGTGTGCACGGCGGCCAGCGGCAGCGCCTGGCCTGAGGCGGTCCCCAGGTCGAGCTCTGCTGCCCCTAGCGCCTCCGCCAGGCTTGCGCCGCGGCCAGGGCTGGCCCTTTGTGCCACGTCGTGCCCATAGCCGTACGCGGCCGGCTGGCGGGGCAAGTGCGCCAGGCCGGGCGCCAGCGGAAGCACGCCGCCGCCGCTGCCGCGCCCGCTGGCCTGCGGCGGCGCGGCCGCGGCGGCCTCATGCAAGCCGCTAGGCAGCCCAGGGGCAGCGGGCGCCCCACCTGCAGGGGCGGCCGAAGCGGCCACGGCGCTGGAGTTGGCGTGCGAGCCTGCTGCACCACCCGTGCCGCTGTCACACCAGTGGGCGCCGCCGCCGCCGGCCGCCTGCTCGTCTCCTGTGGCCGCAGCCTGGGCCGCCAGGAACGGCGAAACGACCTTGTGGCTGGAGGGTGCGCCGGGCGACGCGCCGGCTGGTGGGAGTGCGGCGGCGCCGCCGTCGCCACCGCTGTCGGCCCCACCACGCCCCGGCCTGGCACCGCCCCTGCTGGCGGCGGCGTGGGCAGCGCGCCCAAGCAGGGGACTGCCGCTGTAAAACAGGGGGGGCGGGGCCGTGGTTGGGGGCGGTGGGCTCAGCGGGAGCAGCGCCGCCGTCGCAAGGGGCTGCTCACCACGGCCATCTGGCTGCTGCTGCTGCTGTCGCTGCTGCTGCTGCTGCTGCTGTTGCTGCTGCTGCTGCTGCTGGTGGTGGTGGTGGTGGTGGCGATGGTGGTGCTGCTGTTGCTGCTGCTGCTGCTGCTGCTGCTGCTGCTGCTGCTGCCCCTGCTGCTGGTCACGGTGCTGGTACTGGTGCGGGTGCGGGTGGTGGGCCTGCTGCTGCTCCTGCTGCTGGTGGTGCTGCTGCTGCGGCTGCGCCCAAGTGGGCAGGGAATCTGTGTCGCCGGCGGAGGGCACAGCAGAGACGGGCGCGCCTGCAGCGGCCGCCGCGCGGTCGGCCAGCGCCTGCTGGGACCTGCGGAGCAGCTCCCACTGCTCTTGCTCCTCCTGAGACTGATCTGGCGAGAACAGGCCGCCGATCGGCGGTCCGCTGCCGCCTGCGCGCGTGGCAGGGGTACCAGGCGAGAGAAGCGCAGACGGCAGGGACGCCGCCGCTGCCGGCGCGGACGGGTGTCCGTATGTCGCCTGTGTCTGCCCAAAGGCATCGGCAGGAGGGCGGTCGAGCGGGATGCGGCCGTGCGCCGGGCCCGGAGAGGATGCGCCGCCACTGCCGGCCCGCAGGACACCGGGGCCAGCCCCGAAGCCGTGGCCGCCACCGCCGCCGCCGCCGCCGGTGGCGGTCCCCTGCAGCAGCGCCAGGTCAGCGGCCAGCCCCGGGCTCAGCGTGTAACTGCCGACGCCGCCGCCGGCCCCACCAAACGCGTCAAAGCCGGGCGGCAGGCCGAGCGGCGAGGCTGCAGCGCCGGCCCCACTCCTGCCGGGACGCAGCGGCGGCGCGAAGCGGCCGTACTGATCAGCATCGCCTGAAGCCCCGGCCGCGGCCGCCGCTGACGCGGCGACGGCGGCTGCCGCGTTGCGGGCCGCGATGACGGCTGCGGGGGAGGGCGGCGGGGGTGCGCCCATGGCCGCGAAGAGCTTGGAAGGGGAGGCGGAGGAGGAGGGGCCGCCGTAGAGTGGGGAGGTCGCTGCCATCAAGGCGCGGCCGCCTTGAGGCGGCGACGGCAGCGACGGCGACGGCGGCGCGCCCATCGAGCCCGCGTGCGGCAGGCGCCATGCGGCGCCCGCGGGGCTGGGGGGCGGCATGCCCGGGGGCGAGGCGGCCGGCAGGGAGGTCGCTGGCAGTTGGGGGGACAACGGCGGCCGCAGGAGTGACGGGTACGAAGATGCGTGCGCGACAGCTGACGAGCACCCGTAACCAGCGTGAAAATTGATGTGGCCGCCGCCACTGCCTCCGCCGTTGCCGTTGCCGTTGCCGCTGCTGCTGCCGCTGCCGTCGCCGCCGAGCAGCAGCGCCCCCGACAGCCCCACAGCTGCCGCCGCGCCGCTGCCCGCCGCATGCCCGAACGCGTCGCCCCCGCCCCCGCCGTCGCCGCCGCCGTCGCCGCGGCGCTCATAGGATGACGCCAGCAGCAGCTGCTCGATGCCCCCCAGGCCCTCCCTGGCGATTGCCGCGCTGGCCACCATTCTCTCCTGCATCAGAGCCAGCTCTATCGGCGCCAGCCCGCCGCCGGCCGCCGCGGCGATGACGTCCGATGACATCATCAGCTGCGCGTCCAGCAGGTGACCGCTGGTGACGTCACGCATGAGGGCGCCGTTGGGGCCGTGGTGGGGGTCGATCTGGAGCTCAAAGGGCAGAAGGGCGGCGCCCTGGATAGGGTGGGCGTGGGGCGGCGGCGGCGGCGAGGTGCCGCGGCCGGGGGCGTGGGGGCCCAGGGAGACGTAGGCGCTGGAGGGCAGGAGGTGAGGGAACACCTGCGAGCGGCGGCAGGCGTGCAGGACGAGGGAGGCAGCAGGGGTCGCATGGAGTGGATTGAGCCGACGATGGGTGCTCGGCCGACGACGGGTCGGCTCCTGATTCAAGCCCACTAGCTCACATGCCACGCTCCCAGAAGATGTGTGCATCTCGCCGTATGCATATGGACCCAATAATTAATGAACGTCAAAAACAGGACCCACGTTGTATGGCCCGGCCTCATTGCCAGCCAGGCTCCCCAGCAGCGGACTGCTCGCGCCGCCCCCAAGCAGCGCCCGCTGCGCCGCCGCCTGCTGCTGCCGCCTGTGGGCCGCCAGCAGCGCCCCGCCCTCCTCCGCGCGCCGCTTGCCGCCGGACGCCGCGCCGCGCCGCCGCGGGGCGGCGGGCGTCGCGGGGAGGCGGGCGCGCGGGTTGTGGGTGCGCGGG